CCCCAATTTGATATCCAATTTTTTCTTTATCTAAATCATTTGACACCCTCATCACCTTACTCTTTTCTATGTTCACTTTCAACTTTCTACCTTTACACACATTCCCAAACTCATCCACTAACCTTTGCAATTTTTCTTTAGAATCTCCCATAAGCACAGTATCATCAGCAAAAAGTAACTGTGTCAATTCCCATTTTGAATTTGATTCCCCATAATTTAATCCCACCCCTCTCCCAAACACCCTAGCATTTACTTCCTTTACAACCCCATCTATAAATATATTAAACAACCATGGTGACATTACACATCCCTGTCTAAGACCTACTTTTACCGGGAAGTAGTCTCCCTCTCTTCTACACACCCTAACCTGAGCCTCACTATCCTCATAAAAACTCTTTACAGCATTTAATAACTTACCACCTATTCCATATACTTGCAACATCTGCCACATTGCTCCTCTATCCACTCTATCATATGCCTTTTCTAAATTCTTCCATACATTTATTAAATAATTCCACCTTTTTCTCTTCATCAATTCTGTGGTTCACTTCATCTTTCATAGATCCATCCACAGACAAGTCCACTCCCAAATTTCTGAATGCATTCACTTCCTTTATACTCTCTCTCTCTTTCCAATCTGATATCCAGTCTTTCATTACCTCAAATAAAATCATTTATTTCTTTGTACAGTACATTGTGTAGTTTACGTGTAATAAAATGTTGTCAAGCACAAAGAAAGCTGCTAGAATGCATGAAAATTTTGTGCAGACTAATTCTAATGTTTACAGGCTACTTAAAACTAGACATAGGTTACAGAGTGGTGAATTTTAATTATGTATTACTACAGCAATGATAGGTAGCAAAATTTATAATTAATAAAATTTATAGTAGACAGGCAGCAAAATATTTTATAATTAGTATAATTTACATTAGTACAATCATTTGTTACCCTCATCACCTTGCTCTTTCCAATGTTCACTTTTAATTTCTTCCTTTTACATACCCTCCCAAATTCATCCACCAATTTTTGCTACTTTTCTTCAAAATCTCCCAGAAGCAGTGTCGTTGGCAAAATGGAACTGTGACAACTCCCATTTTGTATTTGTTTCTGCATATTTTAATCTTGCATCTCTCCCCAACACCCTAGCATTCACTTATTTTACAACCCCATCTATTAACCCTTTGACTGTTTTCGACGTATAAATACGTCTTACGAGCCAATGTTTCTGACGTATATATACTCAATAATTCTAGCGGCTTCAAATCAAGTGGGAGAAAGCTGGTAGGCCCACATGCGAGAGAATGGGTCTGTGTGGTCAGTGTGCACCACATAAAAAAAATCCTGCAGCACACATTGCGTAATGAGAAAAAAAAAACTGATCGTTTTTTTGGAATAAAAACGCCGACTTTGAGGTGTATTTTTCGTATAGTATTTATCGTTGTATTCGCGTTTTCATGGTCTTAGGTGATAAAATGGAAAACATATTACAGAAATAGAGATGATTTTCATTACTTTTACGATGAAAACGACCTTGAAACTGAGCTCAAAGTAGCAGAAATGTTCGATTTTTACCAATGTTCAAGAGTACATAAATCACACCACACGTCCAATACACGTCAACTGGGGAGTCTAATATTCTTTCACTAGTGCACTGATATTATTTATACCATTTTTACAATAATGCAGTCGTCTGCATAACAGTAAATTTTGTATTTTTTTGTATGAATAAAAAATCAAAATAGAAAGCAATAATAATATAAGAGGGGCCTAGAGATGTGACTAATGAACAGAGCATATGTTATTTTAGTGCCACAAATGTCTACCTTGTTTATTCTGGACCCTATTTTGAAATTGGCATCTTTTTTATTTTGCGTGAAATTGGCCAAATTGCCAATTTCTGACCATATTGGGTAGTCCAAATTAGAAAAATGGGAGGTTTCTTGTACTCAGCTGATAGATAAAATGGAGTTCTAAAGAAATAGCTATGAGTTTGGTCAACTGGAACAATGGAATTGGCTGAAAATTGGGCTCAAAGTCGGCGAAATCGCCGATACGCATATGTCGCCGAGACCGCTAACTTCGCGGGAGCATAATTCCACGAGTTTTCGACCAAATTTCGAACTTTTGGTGTCATTACCATCGGGAAAAGATTCTCTATCATTTCATAAGAAAAAATAATTTTTTTTTTTTTCAAAAATTGAGCGACATAGAATGACAGTTTCAGAGAGGGGCCTGAAACAGTCAAAGGGTTAATATGTTAAACAACCATGGTGACATGATGCATCCCTTTGTAAGGCCTACATGTACTGAAAAATAATCTTCCTCTCTCCTACATACCCTAACCTGAGCCTCAGTATCCTCATAAAAACTTAACTGTTTTCTGTAACCTACCATCTGTTCCATACACTTGCAACATCAGCCTCATTGCTATCTTATCCACTCCATCATGTGTTTTTTCTAAATCCATAAATGCAACAAAAACTTCCATAATCTTTATAAATATTGTTCACCTAAGTGTTTCAGTGTAAAAACTTGTTCTTCATGTCCCCTACCCTACCTGAAGCCTTCTTGTTCATCTGCAATCCTGCTCTCTGCTTACCCTTTATTTTTCACTAAAAACCCTACCATACACTTTACCTGGTATACTCCACAGATTTCTTTCTTCTTTCAACAAACCAGCCATGTCCCTCCGAGGCAGGGTGGCCCAAAAAGAAAAAAATCTCTAACATTAGTAATGTATACAGGAGAAAGGGTTACTAGCCCCTTGCTCCTGGCATTTGTCACCTCTTATGACACACACAGCTTATGGAGGAAGAATTCTGTTCCACTTCCCCATGGAGATAAGAGGAAATAAACAAGAACTAGTAAGAAAAAAGTAGAAAACCCAGAGAGGTGTGTATATATATATATGTATGCTTGTACATACATACATGTGTAGTATGACCTAAGTGTAAGTAGAAGTAGCAAGATGTACCTGAAATCTTGCAAGTATATGAGACAGAAAAGAGACACCAACACTACCACCATCGTGTAAAATAATTACAGTGGAACTTCAAAAATCGAACGTATTAAATATCGAACATTTCGAAAATAAGACCATTTTTTTTCGGACAGACTGTGTCCCAATTATCGAACGCGCCCCCAATTTCAGACCGCCAGGTACGGGACCTATCTGCTGGCCTGCTCTGTCCGCGTCCCCGCGCAGGCGCCGTGAGCAGTGTAGCTTTGTTTATGCTTGAGTGAACACTAACCTGCGATCTCATTCACACATTTTACGATTATTTAATTGTGTTTAGTGCTTGTGGGGCTGTGAAATAAGCTGCCATGGGCCCAAAGAAACTTGCTAGCGGTACCCCTGTGGTAAAGAAAGTGAGAAACACCATAGATGTGAAGAAGGAAATAATACAGAAGTATGAGATTGGAGTGAGACTTGTTGAACTTGCCAGGCTGTACAGAGGACTGTGGACAGTTACTTTGTGAGACAGAAACAGACGACTGTGGAGTTATTTTGTGAGACAGAAACAGACGACTGTAGACAGTTAGTATTTTGTGAGACAGAAACAGACTGTTGAGTTATTTTGTGAGACAGAAACAGACGACTGTGGAGTTATTTTGTGAGACAGACGATTGTGGACAGTTATTTTGTGAGACAGAAACAGACGACTGTGGAGTTTTGTGAGACAGAAACAGACGACTGTAGACAGTATTTTGTGAGACAGAAACAGATGACTGTGGAGTTATTTTGTGAGACAAACAGACGATTGTGGACAGTTATTTTGCGAGACAGAAACAGACGACTGTGGAGTTATTTTGTGAGACAGAAACAGACGACTGTGGAGTTATTTTGCGAGACAGAAACAGACGATTGTGGAGTTATTTTGTGAGACAGACGATTGTGGACAGTTATTTTGTGAGACAGAAACACGACTGTGGATAGTTATTTTGTGAGACAGAAACAGAGGACTGTAGACAGTTATTTTGTGAGACTGGGGTCCAATGACTCTCAAGCTGGTCCTAGTGGCATTAAAATACAGAGAAGGGAAGCAACCTCAGAGAGGGCTTTGATACCGGAAGTCCTCATGGAGGGGGATTCTCCTTCCAAACAATAACCCCAACTCCTCCTCTCCTTCTCCCTATCTTCCAGATGCCATCACCAATCTTCAATAAAGGTAAGTAAAAATGTTGTTTTATATTACTATACATAATTAAAGACTATAGCATTTGTTGTGTATGTAAAACTGTAATTAATCTCGATAAAATGTATTATTTTTGTGTATATTTTTGGGTTTCTGGAACGGATTAATTGTATTTCCATTATTTCTTATGGGAAATATTGCTTCGAATTTCAGGCTTTTCGAATGTAGAACTAGCTCCTGGAACGGATTAAGTTTGATTTTTGAGGTTCCACTGTACAGGCTTTTGTTGTATGCCCACTTGGCAGAACGGTAGTACCTCCCTGGGAGGTTGCTGTTTACCAAATTCAACAGGCTGATATCCCAGTAATTTTTACACCCTCTTTTGTCCCCTTTTCCTTTTTACAGAGGAACTATGTATATACTCTGCCAATCCCATTAATCCCAGCTGCTTTACCCCCTTTTATTTTATTTTGTCTTAATTTGTGACATAGCTGTAATTTTGTTTACCTCAGTGGCCATCTTCCGCCAAGGCAGTTTTTTTTCATTCAAAAATCATCTGCCAAAGCAGGGTGACCCAAAGAGTAATGCATTCACCATCATTCATTCATTTTTTTTTCTTCTTCTTTTTTTTCTTTTCTTTCTTTCTTTCTTTTCTTTTGCCAAAAGTGTGCTGCCATCCCATTTTGGACACAACTTGCAGTAGGCTCATTATATCCTGAGATTTACCTATTAGTGTCCAGTACAAAGGTTTTATCTGTAAAAGAAGGAAAAGTGTACCATAGCTTTATAAAATATTGGGTATAATTTTTTATTTAAAGTTTTTATTGTTATACACTTAATACCACATTGACTAATCTTAACAGAAAAGCCGCAGCTTTGTCCGTGATCGTAACATAGAACTTATATTGGTAAAGAAGGAGGATGGACCTTTCTGGCCACATCTTCTCAAACAGAAAGTCAAGCAGCACTGGCTTAAAGTAGACTTCAGCAGGTGGAAGGATGAGGATGACAGTGATGATGAAGGTGAAGATCAGAATCAGGATCTTGAAGAGGTAGGCATATATTCTAAGAAAGTGAATTGTGGATATAATTTTTATAAAAACACCTTTTTTATACAAGATTTTTCTTTCAAACCTGTTAATGCATGCAAAATATTGCATTCTAGGTAATGCGTCAAATGGGTGGTTTGGGTGGAGATAGCCGACCATCTTTGGATGACCTTGAAGATGAGGATTCAGATGATGAAGATCTCCCAGACTTGGAGTAATTGTATCTCCAGGCTTAGGTTAGTAATGAGTCCATAAACTTTTTTTGAAGTTTTATTAATGTAGAATAATTTTGAGGACCAAAGGGACCAGCTCATAGAGAGGAACATGTAAATAGTTTGGATATAATGATGTCATCTGACCTATCATTTACAGAAAGGAAAAAGGCAAATACCACAAAGCCAGAAAAATGACAGGGTTGATAATGAGAATGTTTAAACAAGAAAAATAATGCCAGTGGTGACTATTCAGATCACTTGTGCTCTCTCTCACTTGCTTAACCCTTTCAAGGTCAGTCCTGTTCTACGGTTTTCAAGCCCGGGTCGGTCCCGTAGTTCTGTGACATAAGCTAGCTCTCTCAGATAAGCTGTGAGTGGAAAGTTTAGGCCTAGATATGAGAGAATGGGTGTATGCAGTGAGTGTGTACCATATAAAAAAAAATCTCGCAGCACACAGTGCATAATGGGAAAAAGAAAACCTACAGTATTTTTGGTTTAAAACTGACTGCAGTGTATTTTTGTATGGCTTTTATGGTTGTATTCTCGGTTTCTTGGTCTCGTTGCATAGAATTGAAAACGTTACAGAAATAGAGATGATTTTGATTGGTTTCAGGACTGAAAGTAGCTTGAAATTGAGCTCTAAGTAGCAGAAATGTTTGATTTTTGCCAGTATTCTAGAGTACACAAATTACGTCACTCATCCAATACCCATCCAGCTGGTCTGTCTAATGTGTGTTCACAAATGCGCTGCCATTGTTTATACAGTTATTGCAATAATGCATTAGTCTGCATAACAGTTAGTTTAATATGTTTATTATGCACCCCATACCCATCCTGTGGGCAGTAGTCAAAAGGTTACAGAGGTACATAATTGGTCCAGGGACTGGACTCCAAAATTTTGATAGCTGAGCAAGTTACAGAGGTAATGAATTCACAATTTACAAAGGTAATGAACTCCAGGTAGGTCTAGTCACAATCATGACAAGTTACAAAGGTATTTACAGATTACAGAGGTACGTAATGGGTCCAGGGACTGGCCCCAAAGTTGTGATGGCTGACTAGTACAAGGTAATGAACTCACAAGTTACAAAGGTAATGAATCCTGTAAGAATGCAGTTACTAAGTTTAATACATGGTACAATCAGACTGCCAAATTATGTAGTAATGAGTACAAGTATCAACTTCCACAAGTTACAAAGGTAATGAGTCTATTGGTACAAATATTGATGTTGAGTACAGACATACAAGCAGAACAAATAAGAAGACAATCACACTCACAACCTACAACAGAGTTTCAATACATCAACAACACCAGACACACAACACACACACAAACACACCACACACACACACACACACACACAAAACACACAACAACACACACACACACACACACACACACACACACACACAGACACACACACACACACACACACAACACACACCACACCACACAGACACACACACACACACAACACACACAGACACAACACAACACAGACACACACAGACACAACAACACACAAAAGAACACACACAGACACACACAACACAAACCAGACACACAACACACACAGACACACACACACAGACACACACACACACACACACAGACACACACACACAGACACACACACACACACACACACACAGACACACACACAGACACACACAACACAGACACACACAGACACCACAGACACACACACAGACACAGACAGACACACAGACACACACACAACACACACACACACACACACACACACACACACACACACACACACACACACACACACAACACACACACACACACACAGACACACACACACACACACACACACACACACACACACACACACACACACACACACACACACACACACACACACACACACACACACACAGGTTTGCAACAAGGTTAGTTCCAGAGCTAAGGGGAATGTCCTATGAAGAAAGATTAAGGGAAATCGGCCTGACGACACTGGAGGACAGGAGGGTCAGGGGAGACATGATAACGACATATAAAATACTGCGTGGAATAGACAAGGTGGACAAGGACAGGATGTTCCAGGGAGGGGACAGAGAAACAAGAGGCCACAATTGGAAGTTGAAGACACAAATGAGTCAGAGAGATAGTAGGAAGTATTTCTTCAGTCATAGAGTTGTAAGGCAGTGGAATAGCCTAGAAAATGACGTAGTGGAGGCAGGAACCATACACAGTTTTAAGACGAGGTTTGATAAAGCTCATGGAGCGGGGAGAGAGAGGGTCTAGTAGCAACCGGTGAAGAGGCAGGGCCAGGAGCTAGGACTCGACCCCTGCAACCACAAATAGGTGAGTACACACACACACACACACACACACACACACACACACACACACACACACACACACACACACACACACACTCACTCCACTCACTCACTCACTCTCACACTCACACTCACACACACTCACACACTCACACTCACTCACACACTCACACACTCACACTCACTCACACACTCACACTCACACTCACTCACACACTCACCACACTCACACTCACCCACCTCTCAACATCTCACACTCTCACACTCACACACTCACTCACACACTCACACACTCTCACACTCACAACACTCACTCACACACACACTCCACACACACACACACTCACACACTCACTCACTCTCCTCACTCTCTCTCTCTCACTCTCTCTCTCTCCTCTCTCTCTCCTCTCACTCTCTCACTCTCTCTCTCTCACTCTCTCTCTCTCTCTCTCTCTCTCCTCTATCTCTCTCTCACTCTCACTCTCTCCTCTCTCTCTCTCTCTCTCTCTCTCTCTCTCTCTCACTCTCTCTCTCTCTCTCTCTCTCTCTCTCTCTCTCTCTCTCTCTCTCTCTCTCTCTCTCTCTCTCTCTGCCCCCTGGAGCAGGCCTGAGGATGTGACTAATGAACAGAGGAAATGTTGTTTTAGTGGCCAAGAATGTGTACATTTTTTTCTGGGAATTTCTTTTATTTTTCATGAAATTGGCCAAATTACCGAATTTTGATCACTTTGAGTAGTTGAAATAGGTGAATGGGCAGTTTCTTGTACTCAGTCAATAGAAGATAAGGAATTTTAGTGAAATAGCTAAGAGTTTGATTGACTGGAAGAATGAAATTGGCCAAAAATAGGGCTCGAAGTGGGAGAAATCGCCAATGCATAAATATCTCCGAGACTTCTAACTTTGGGATAGCGTAATTCCGTAAATTTTCATACTTTTGGTTTTATTATGTTCTGAAAAAGATTACCATTTCATAAATTTTTTTTATTCTCCGACCCTGAGAGCAAGTTTCAGGGCAGGAAGAGTTATCAGAGCCACTAAAGCATTTAAACTACTAGGAATGCCTCAAAGTTCTGGGAATGTGCTCTCTGGAACAAGAGAGAGAGATATGTATGTGAAAGATGCTTGAAATCCTATTTCCCAGCCAAAATAAGAGAACATTGCTGCCAGCAAATTTTAGAAGTATTGTAAAGGGTGTAATAGTTTTTAAGAGTAAACAATCACTACCTCTGCCAAGTGCCAGAACAACCAGGTTGTGATGTATATGAAGGCCAGTGGTCCACAAACAGCACTTGTAAACTTGTATAGTACAGTTCAGGACATTTACAAAAAGAAATTTTTTGCTACTGGTTGCAAAATGTTTCCTTTAGTATAAAAGAAATGGGCAATTCAAATTTTTTATGACCAAGTTATACATTGCATATTTAGGCTGGTTTATTATAGTAAATCCTTGCTGAAAAATATATCTTCATCATTGCTGCAGTTGTCAACAATTTTCAGTGAAAATAATTTTTTTTTTAATTGCAGAGGCCTTCGTGGACCACATCAGATCATGGGGGAAAGAAAGCTACGTCCCACAGTAAACTGTGTTGTAGCTTACTAAGTCAGTGTGCAAATTCCATAGTTAACTCCCAAGGGACAATGTTGATAAATGGTATTCATCTGAGTTGAAACAAAACAAAGATGACTATCTTGTGGGGCTTGTGCACTCGAAAGACTCTTGACTGTCTGCCCCCATGTGAAAGGTTGCAGTGCAGATGGACTAGTGGCTTTATACCTTTACAATACAAGGAGAAAAAATACCAAATCCCTTTATTATGCATAAGTAACAGATAAGAACCAAGCTCATACCAAACATCCTTTACAGCTTTTATAGAAAAATATATTCCAAATTTTGTTTTACTGACATAGGAAGAAAATGCCAAATTCCAATTTGTAAGGATTTTTGTTAGAATCTATAATTCAAGTGTTTTGGTGATAAGAATTTACAAATCAAATTTAAAGATGGGTGGGGTAAGTAGATGGTCTTGTTTATACTGGGTGACATTTTAATTTGGGATCTGTTTACTTATGATAAATAACCAAAAAAGGATTGAGTTTTAGAGGTGAAGAAATCATTTATTGTAAACAAAGATTTTTTTAAATGTTTGTAGTAATAGCTTAATGATTATTAAGAAGCTGATTCTGAAAAAAAATTATATACCTGTAGTATGCAGTATAATTATATGAGATGTAGTTGTTAAAATGAGTACCTGTATGTAATGTAATATTAAAGTTGGTTTCATACATTTTGTAATATGAGTGTATCCATTTGTGAGGTGATCTTAATGTGCATTTGTGAATGGAATGTGGATTGTTAATTTAGTTGTTCACCCTTTGATTATACAATACTTGCAAATGTATGTTGGGGAGAGTTACCTAGTACAGCCACAGATATTTATGAAATAATTTAGTAGACCATCTATTTGCCTTAATGTAAAAGAAAAAAAGGTTCTTTTCAAGTATAGAAACATTCAAAATCAAAGTGTCTTCAACATTGATGGCTTTTATACCACCCAGTCACCTTTATACTGTCAGAAAATTCACATACTTAAAAATTAAACTTCCAGTATACAAATCACTTGTAGTTTGACTAATTCCTGTGTATGTAGGAAAATTTTTAAGTGAGGGTACATCCATTTTGGGTTTAAATGGCCATCTTTTCAATTAATGCCCCCATAACTGCTGCCTTTGACAGAGGGGACTTTTTGGGCTTTCATGGGAATGCCCCTCAAGGGTGGTTTCTTGATGCTGTTGAGGGGCTCTTGATCCAAGGGGTTGGACTTGTCCTCCCCATGGTTGGAACCTGATTGCTTCCCATTCCCAAGGTGCTGTATGAACCCTTTGGGTTTAGTTCTTTCCCCTAAATCTACCTTGATGCTAGTGAACGTCTTGTTCCCAAGAATTCTTCTGTAGCTACCCCTCCCTCATAAAATCTGATTATCTCCACTTCTTGTATAGCCCTTACAGGTTTAGCACTTCCTCACAAATACAATGATCTTTGAGACCTTTAAAGAGGACACTATAGTGTGTTTTTAATCGAGGAACTTTGCTTCTTTTGAAACTCCGTCTCTCCAGCTTGAAAACCATAGATTAGTGTACTTTTTTTTTTTAATTTTACACTTGCTTTCCCAAAGGCACTATTTTTTCCAAAATGTGCATTACTTCTACCACTAACCAGTGCTTCTCCCACGAATATAAATGTCTAATCATTTTCAAAAAATTAAGTGATTCTCCTCTTCCCTGCATCAAACCTGATTACCTTCCATCCTTCAATTGCTGTATAGCCCCTACACCTCAAGGGAGGTTCCTTGATGCTTGTGAGGGGCTCTTGATCTAGGGAATTGGATCTGTGCTCCAGTTCCCTGAATTAAGCCTGAATACCTTCCACCCCTCCCACAGGTGCTGTATAATCCTATGGGTTTAGCACTTCCCCATGATTATAATAATGTATAGCCCTTAGGGGTTTAGTACTTCCTCGTGAAAGTATGATGATTCTGCAAAATGCTGTTAAGTAAAGCTATTTCTGTGAGACTTGGCAGTTGATCCTCCAAAGAGTCAACTGCTTGTGAAGGGCTCTTGATCTAAGGAACTGAAGTTATCCTTCAAGGGATCAAACTTTATTACCTCCCATTCATCAATCATTGTACTGACCCCTTCCCTTAGGAAAGATGCATTGATCCAAGGAACTAACTTGCCCTCCCCTTTCTTGAACCTGAATGCCTTTCATTCTCCAGGCATCGTATGACCCTTAAGGTTTAGTGTTTCCCCCCAATTGAAATGTATGGACCCTGTGTGGATTTAATACTTTTCCATGAATATTTCTGTGAGATACCATTCATGTTTGTGAGGGGCTCTTGGTCCAAGGAATTTGATTTGTCCTAACCTGTGCATCGAAAGATTACCTTCCATTCCTTGTGCTGTATGACCCTTACTCTTGGTGCTTTCCCTAATTATAATACTGTATAACTTTTATACACAGCTGTCAAGGAATTGGAGCTACACCACAGCACTGCATGACCCTTAATTAAGGGTTTATGATATTATATGGCTTAGCGCTTCTTTTTGATTATAATAATAATAATGATTATTATAACATAGCTTCAGTTGGGATTAAATTTGTTCCATGTATGAAACCCCTCAAGTGAGCAGATTTTTATGGGAATTTTACTTGTCCTCTCTCTCCTTGGTTTGAACCAGATTGTTTCCTATTCCTCCAGGCACTCTGTGACTCCTACAGGTTTAGTGCTTCCCCCTAAATATATCCACTTATGAAAAGAGATTCTCATGGTACGCATTGCGCTGTATGACCCTTGTAGGTTTAGCGCTTCATTTTTTATAATCAAGGTATGCGTTGTTGGCGTAAACAATGCTTACAGACTCAAGGATCAAAGAAGTGTCTTAATATTGGTAGAAGGCCCTTGATCCAAGGAACTGGAGCTACCCTCCTCTAGTCTGATCACACCTGATTGCCTTCTGTTCTTCCAATACTGTACAGCGATGTATGACCCTTGTGGGTTTAACACTTGATTTTGATTACGATAATAATCTTCAAGTGTTGTATGACCATTATGGATCGAGTGTTTTTTTGTGAATATAGTAATTAGCCATAATAGAACTTTCCAGCTCAAGGCCCTCCTCACTGAAGGTCCCACCTTTGACACAGACTTGACTTTAACTAACCTATGGTATTGCACCGACTTTGATTTATATTTTACTCTTGCACGAATCCCCTACCTGTGCACACCTGAGCTGACGTGATTACAAAGGACAAAATACTTAAGAGGAATTGACTGTGGGCAGGAAGTGTCTGAAAGTTGGTCTCGGATACATGAGGTTAAGGCTCCATGCTCCAGTTCCCTGAACTAAGCCTGAATGCCTTCACCCCCACTTTCCCCAAAGGCGTTGTTTAATCCTAGCCCCTCAAGGAAGGTTCCTCGATGCTGGTGAGGGGCTCTTGATCTAGGGAACTGGATCTGTGCTCCAGTTCCCTGAGTTAAACCTGAATACCTTCCATCCCTCCCCCAAGCACTGTATAATCCTATGGGTTTAGTGCTTCCCCCTTGATTATAATAATAATGATGTTTAATCCTAGGGGTTCAGCGCTCCCCATGATTATAATAATAATGAGGTCACGGCTGGAAGTTAAAAACAGATGAGTAACAGTGATATTAGGAAAGGCTTCTTAGCCTCAGGGTTGTCAGCCTGGGTAGAAACATTGGGCCTGTTTCTTTACACCCATCAGTAAAATGGGTACCTGGGTGTTAGTCGACTGGTGTGGGTCGCATCCTGGGACACTGACCTAATTTGCCCGAAATGCTCGGCATAACAAGGGGCTTTCTATATATAAGTATGTCATTGATGTCTGATAGGCCTGTATACCATGTACAAATACTTGTAGTAAATAAAGATATTATATATTATTATATTATATATTAAGTGGAACGACCTAGACAATGAAGTGTTGAGGCAGAATCCATAAATAACTTTAAGAATAAGTATGATAGGGCTCACGCAGCTTTAATGCCTTACCTCTACCACTACTCTCACCTCCCTTGTCTCGTCCCTGCCAGCTGGCCTGTATATACTGGCTTCTCTTTTGTCTGTTAGTCTCCGAGTCACCATCTGAAAAAGACCCGGGCCGGGACAGTACCGGCGAAACTATTACAATACAATTTTCTGTTAGTGTGACTTTGTAAATGGTCCAAGTCTGACCGAAACGTCGTCGTGAGCTTCCTCTCTCCTATGTACGGGTTATTTTTGTATTATTTCAGTCACGGTATTGTGCCTTTTTCTTTGTAAAACTAGTAGCGGCAAGCAGAGAGGCAAGGGAGATTCCTTGATGCTGGTGAGGGGCTCTTAACCTAGGGACTTGAATCTCTCCCCCTCTCCAGCAGGCGCTGTACAATCCCTGACCCTTGCGGCTTAGTGCTTCTAGATTATAATAATAATAATATATAATCCATACGGGTTTAGCGCTCCCCAGGATATCAATAATTATCTAGGAATTGCTCTTGATTTCCCCTTCCTCGGATCGAACCTGGTGACCTCCCATTTCACTAGGAAGTCTATATTTCTACGGGTTTAACGCTCACCCAGAATATAAAAAATATTATCTCTTGTGAGCCATTCAAAGAAGTTACAGTTAGTTTTAGATAGTGAACTTTTTATAATAATGATATAATGATTCGGTTGCAGACTCAGAAGCTAATAATTATGCAATCCATTTCGGGCAAACTAGTCATCATAAGGCTTACACGCTGATTAAATCTAGACCTATCATATAATTAATATCATTGATATCATAATAGCTTCAGTAATCCATTACAGTCACAAGTACACTAACATATGCTGCAGTCTGTCTTGTTATATGTAATACTTAAAGCATAGTTAGGTTTAAGTTTTGATCAGCGTACGGTATACTTATTTTTAAAAATAAAAAAGCACATCATACTCTAGAGCCTGTAGGCAATTTAATGTTTTATAAAAAAAAGAAAACCGAATCTGCTTCCTTGTTTCTAAGATGCAATTTCCATTATATATTTCTCCTGTTGACTAACTTCATTCATGCTTCATTTGTCAATAAAAATATATTGAGTCAGTGAACAATGAATGACAGGACGTTGACATATCATTGCTTCAGAAATATTGATGAAGCAGTGAACCTTATGACGTCATGCCCTTCTCCTGGCTTACGCAGTGGTTATATATATGATTACTGGCTCCCAGGAACAGAGTGAATATTTTAATCAAAGTCATTTTATTCTCATATTAATATATCATATATGACTAGCGTTATTATGATGAAAATCTTCAATAGCTTGATTATGCTCGAGCTACTCAAGGCTGCGAACCCACCAAACTTTTTCATCCACTTCCATTAAAAGTTTTGATTGTTTACTTTTCTTTGGTTCGTTTTACACATTAACTACAAAACTGACAACCAACTTAATATAAAAAAAAGATTACTAGTCAAGCTTATCCAGCATTATAATAATTAACTTTGTGTATATTAGAAATGATAAATTGTCTTCATCGAAAGCTGAGTTAACAGAGAACTAAGGAATTAGAAATAAGATGTAACCGACCAAATAATATCTAACTCTTGTTTTGGAGGAGTTGACCAGTGACGTGAATTTATGTCATAAGCAGTATCTGAAGACGTTTATGGCTGACAGAGAGGAGAGGCAAGTGGAAGATGATGCGGAGGAGGATATGGAAGCAGAGGGAGTGGGTGACATGGCTGCAGTAGTGGAGGAAGAAGGCCAAGTAGTGGATGTGTACCAGGTGGAGGAAGAGCCACAGGAGCTGGTGCTAATGGAGGAAGTGCTCGTGGATGAAGGTGATTATTATGACTGTAGCAAGTTCTGTTAGGGTTATGAATGAGCGGTTGGTATTTAATAGACAGCAACCATACGAGAAAGTATCGTCTTGTGATGTGTGTGAATAGGAAGTCTGTTAAATGTTTTGCACTCTGGCAGGATTTCTAGTCTCTCACGATTTGTATGATGAATATGTAAGATAGTTGGTATATCCTTGCTGCTGTGAATTTACAACCATCTGCACAATTTCTTAGTATAATGATGAAATTTGAGTCTATAATGATTTGAGTCAGTATAATCATGAAATTTGAAATTATGCTAGCCAAAATTAGTGCCAGATTACTGTTGGAACCGGATAACTAATTGCCGGATTAGTGATGGCCGACCTGTGCCTTAAAAAAAAAATAAAAAAATAGAACTAAATTTTTAATATAGTATAGCCTGAGTTTTGCCCAGAATGCTATGCATCCTATGGGCCTTAAGATTATTGTATGCATTGTACAGTAATTTTGAAATAAAGATTTGTATTTATAGACTTGTATTAGCTGTTGTACATGTCAATACAGATTAAGATCAGGGTTAATTTTATTATGGATACAAATGAGTAAATTAATAAAAACTTTTATGAATACATATTATGTTGCATGGGGTCAGTAAACTATATTAATAATTTACTGACCCCACTGATGTTACATTATTGATAATGTGATATCAGTGTACAGATATTTGGAGAAAAAAGATGGATGTGTCAGTTGTGGTGGTGTAGTTGCAACGGTGTGTAAACAAAGAATTAAATAGTACAGTGGACCCCTGGCATACGATGGCATCGGCATACGTTAAATCCGGCATATGATACATTTTAATGCAAAAAATTTGCCTCGCCACACGTTAAAAAACCCACCACGCGATTCGTCCGGGACGCGTCCCACGTGTGTCCTCAGCTGCCCCGTGCATGCCAGTGTTTACAAGCCAGCCAGTGCGGTCGCATCCACACATACAATCGGTACATTTCATATTATCACAGCGTTTTTAGTGATTGTACCTGAAAAATAAGTCACCATGGGCCCCAAGAAAGCTTCTAGTGCCAGCCGTGCGGTAAAAAAGGTGAAAATTACTGTGGAAATGAAGAGAGATAATTGCTAAGTACGAAATTGGAGTGCGTATCTTGAAGCTGGCCAGGTTGTATACCAAACCCCAATCAACCATCGCTACTATTGTGGCCAACAAAACAGCAATCAAGGAAGCTGTTCTTGCAAAAGGTGCAAGTTTGTTTTCGAAACAGAGATCGCAAGTACTCGATGTTGAGAGACTGTTATTGGTGTGGATAAACGAAAAACAGATAGCAGGAGATACCATCTCTTAAGCGATCACATGGAAAAAGGGTGGGAAATACGTACTATCGTACCACAGTCAGCTGTTGCTGCACCACAGTCAGCTGTTGCTGCACCACAGTCAGCTGTTGCTGCACCACAGTCAGCTGTTGCTGCACCACAGTCAGCTGTTGCTGCACCACAGTCAGCTGTTGCTGCACCACAGTCAGCTGTTGCTGCACCACAGTCAGCTGTTGCTGCACCACAGTCAGCTGTTGCTGCACCACAGTCAGCTGCTGCTGCACCACAGTCAGCTGCTGCTGCACCACAGTCAGCTGCTGCTGCACCACAGTCAGCTGCTGCTGCACCACCATCAGCTGCTGCTGCACCACCATCAGCTGTTGCTGCACCACGGTCAGCTGTTGCTGCACCACGGTCAGCTGTTGCTGCACCACGGTCAGCTGTTGCTGAACCATGGTCAGCTGCTGCTGAACCAAAGTCAACTGTTGCTGCACCAGTCAACTGTTGCTGAACCACGGTGAGCTGCTGTTGCACCACGGTGAGCTGCTGTTGCACCAAGGTCAGCTGCTGCTGCACCACAGTCAACTGCTGCTACACCACCGTCATCTGTTGCTGCACCACGGTCAGCTGTTGCTGCACTAGTCAGCTGTTGCCGAAGCACGGTGAGCTGCTGTTGCACCACGGTCGGCTGCTGCTGCACCACAGTCAGCTGCTGCTACACCACCGTCATCTGTTGCTGCACCACAGTCAGGTGCTGCTGCACCAAAGTCAGCTGTTGCTGCACCACGGTCAGCTGGTCCTAGTGGCATTAAAAGAAGGGAGGTAATGCCGGAAAAGGACGTGCTTCCTAAAGTCCTAATGGAAGGGGATTCCCCTTTTAAACATTAACAACTTCCACACTCTCCCCTCCTCCCATCCCATCAATCATCACCAGATCTTCAATAAAGGTAAGTGTCAGTTTGTGTGTATTAAAATTAATATTTCATGTGGTAAATTTTTTTTTTTTTCATACTTTGTGGTGTCTTGCACGGATTAATTTGATTTCCATTATTTCTTATGGGGAAAATTAATTCGCCTTACGATAATTTTGGCATACGATGAGCTCTCAGGAATGGATTAATATTGTATGCCGGGGGGTCCACTGTACATGATTACAGGTTTTGGTAGGCAAGTTAGGTGTTCTGTTCTTGTGTTGTATAGCTAATGTCACTGAGCAAAGTTTCACTTCTTTTAGTTATCCTAGATTAAATCTACATACTATTTGTACCAGTGTGCGCTTATCATAATTGTGTTCATTGCAAGCATTGTATGAATGTTTAATATGTGTAATAGTCTGTTAAAGCATATGTAGTGAATGTGAATAAAGTGTATCTTTTTTCTTGTCTGGTGACTACAATTTTTCCCTTAAGGCATTTTTATGATAATACTGTCCTTTATTGAATTATTTACTTTAACTTTATTTTTTATGGTTATCTTTGTGGGAAAGTGTATTTGTAATATTGTGAAATATTTTTGATTACAATAAGTTCAAATTATGAGATTTGATTGCTATGTATATCATAAAAGTAATTTAAATTTTCAGATGCTGATAGTTGGGCTGAATATGATAGTCGTGAGGAATCAGATGGTGGTGATAGTAACGGAAGTGGGGATGAAGGCTGTGGTGAGCAGTATGACAGGACATTACCTTCTAGACATGAAGTGAGTTTGATGCTTTGTCATTTTTAGCAGATGACCCCCATTGTTAAAAGGTAGCAGTATAAAAATAAGTATGTAAGAAAGACAAAGTATGTGAGTTATGGCATTTTATCGAGAAGACAGTATATATGAGGGAACATATAGTGGTTGAGGAGACATCTATGAGGTGAAGTGAGGGGGCTACAGGTGAGGTCATTTGTAGACAGGGGTGTCAGGTTTAGTGAGAATTAGTTTAGCCAATACTTCTGTAATTGAGTATGATCCCAGAGTTTTGTATACAGGCACTCCTCACTTAACAATCTACCTGTTTAACAACTGCTTGGACTTATGACCAGGTCTCTCTCACCAGTCAGTATTGTATGCTGCATGAGAACTATGGTCATAGAAACAGCAGCACGGTGTCTCAGTGTTGAGCAATCTCTAAGACTACATCTATAAATTTGTACTTTATTGTGCACCCAATAGTACAAAATAGTTGGAAGCACAGCAGCACTTGGAAGAGGAAGAAGAGAAAAGAATGGAAGGAGTACAAAAGTTCACTGTAAAGGGGTTAGCTGGTGTGTTTGTCTGTTTGTTTACATTATTGATGTCTCTTGTTTATAATGGCATCTGAGGGTAAGTAGGTTTATTCAGGTACAGGTAGTCAGAAGTGACTACCTGTACTTGAATAACCCAAAAAAGTCAGTGACTATTATTATTATTATTATTATTATTAATTATTAATTATTAATTATTATTATAGCATCTTCAAAAGTAGAGAGGCTTAGTGATTTTAATGTGTACCTCCACGCCAGCACAGTGTGTAAGCATATTTAGGTACAGGTATACATACGTATAATTATCAGAGTACATATAAAATATGCAATAACCTTAAAACACTTGAAATTTTGGAAAGTTTCCAGACGTAATAGAGAGATGTGCTCGTGTAAACAAACTTTGTGGGGCGTAGTGGCTGTATTAGAAAGGCGGGGGGGGCATATAGCGAGTTTTGGTCGCAATTTGAAATGTCCGTATTAGTGGAACGCCATAAAGCGGGGCCCTACTGTATATGCAGGGAGTGGCATCTTGTGTGGGCTTAAGCAATATCTTCTCAGCTCTTCACAGTCAGTGACGAGGTGCAGCAAGGTAGTGCAATATTGGCTAGACTAATTCACACTAAAATTGACACTGCTGTCACATAGCTTCAGGTAACCTCTCCAACCCACTTTACACCTCTTCAGCTACTACATGCATATGTACATAAGGTTCACACATATTTGTATATACATGTCAGTCTGGTTTTTGCATGTTTCTTGTCTGTATGAATTTATATCCCTGGTGGATGAAACATCTAAATAAAAAGCCATAACCCCCACAATTTTTGCTTTTGGTCTTTAGATGTCATTTCAGTTATCTTGTAAACAAAGTGTTTTGGATTATCTTTACACACCCACTGCTGCTGCTCACCTATCATAAATATTTGATACCTAGATGTTGTAAACTGTTGTGGACCTCATCTTGGGGCTCACCAAATGCTTTGCTAGAGGTCCCTGACAAATAAAAGATTTTATATCCTTCTTGCCCATAAACAGTGATTTGCAGCAAATTTCAGTTTTATTTCATTAATATCAATGACTTTTCCTTTTGTCTTTTAACACAAGTTTTTGTCTTCAAATTTTTTCTTGAATCTTGCATTTACAACACCTATTAGTAGTAATACCTAGGAGTGTGAGCAGGGTAATATTTAGTGAAGGGATTTAGGGAAACCGGTTATTTTATACAACCGGACTTGAGTCCTGGAAATGGGAAGTACAATGCCTGCACTCTAAAGGAGGGGTTTGGGATATTGGCAGTTTGGAGAGATACATTGTGTATTTTTATACGTATATAGTACTTCTAAACTGTTGTATTCTGGGCACCTCTGCAAAAACAGTGATTTATGTGTGAGAGGTGAAAGTGCTGAATGATGATGAAAGTATTTTCTTTTTGGGGATTTTCTTTCTCTTTGGGTCACCCTGCTTCGGTGGGAGACGGCCGACTTGTTGAAAAAAAAAAAAAAACCTAGGTTTCCAACAAAAGTACCCCTCGGAACATGTTTGACATTTTGTACTGAGAGAGAGTGCATGCACAATGGCTTGCAAAAGTGCTTTTGCGAGTGTGTGCACAGGAACTTTTCAAGACCTTAATCTGATGCTGCTGCTTGATTGTTTGTAGAAAATACTTGTACAGTTGCATATCAAGTTTATATATTTTAAATTTTGCACTAGCAATAAATATGCCTGTTCTCTAATTTGATATAATGTTGTTCTCTCATATACAGTATCTTTCAGGAAGTACATTTTTTGTATTGTGTAAATTTTTATATACTGTACTGTATTTTAGTACCTCGGCGAGACAGAAGAGTTAAGAGGACGCACTGTACAGGAAGAGAATGACTACGTGACAATTCCATTATTGCTGCACAGTTCCTTGATGAACCTGGTGTTAGTGCCCACTCAGACACTTCCTCTCAGTATCTTCCATCCTCTACATGTTTCCATGCTTCGCAATGTTATTGCTAAGGATCGTACTTTTGGCATTGTTCATTCGAAGTAAGTTTATTAATACTGTTTTGTCTAGGAGAAAATTCATGGTACAGTATATTTAGTGCTGTAAATGTTACAGTTATTGGAAATTTAAAAAAAATGTGATGAACACATCAATGAATATGGGACTAGGGATAAGACGATGCCAAATTTTTTATCAATACCAATACTCAGTATTGGTATTGGCCTAAAATTATCAAAATTAGCAGATACCCACTGATATCATCAAAATTGACCAATACTGATACTCAGTTTTAAGCTGGTATCGACACCATTAAAATTAGTCAGTACCACCGATACAGATACTTTGTCACACTCCTAGAAGGGACACCATTTGTCACACCCCTAGATGGGATGCCATAAGCTTAGCTCTGCTTCTGTAGCTACAAATAGGTAATTACTGTATAGGGACTTGGTTTACACCTGTAAAAATCATTCATCAGTAATAATTGATATGAAATTTGAACTCTAAAACACCAAAAAGATGTACAAACATTTAAAAAAAAGATTGCATGAGATACTTATATTAACATGACTGATGACAAAGGCTATTGCAAAAGCCATATGTTGAATTGAAGATTAATTGGTTAATGTTAACCCTTAAACTGTACAGAGGTAGATCAACGTTCATATGCGTTGCACTCCGACCTTAATTTTCTCCATTTGAAAGCATGTAAAAAATGGAGATCTACGTTCAGAGCACTATGTACGTGAACGTAGGTCTATGTTTGGACAGTTTAAGAGTTAAGTGGCAGGTGCTGGTTGCTATTTTTTTATAGTTTAGGTTTTCACAGTTTAAATAAACATTGGCCACATAAAAAATTAACGTGTAAAACTTCAAATTTTTATCATGTTAATATCCTAAAAAGCTATAAAATCAGGAACATTAGTGGCTGATTAAAGAAAAGAGTTACACTGTTAAAATCTATGTTTGGTTTTATAAAATAGTAACATATAATAAAACTGGAAATTAAAGATTTTAGTCTGAGTGCCTGTGAGGTGTTTAGCATAACATACAATCTTGATATGTTGTGTAATTTGTATGTGATTGTCTGTTCCAGAATTTCCCAGGATGGAACTTCAGAGATGGCCAGGTATGGAACAACAGCAGAAATCTATGAATACACAGAGGAAGAACTTACAGGAACATTGTCAATCAAAGCCAAAGGTCGTCAAAGGTTCAAGGTTATGTCAACACGCCGAGAGACTACTGGGTTAGTACTATTCACAAGAAGCAAGATCTGTAGAGCAGCCTATGTGTATTAGGAAAATTTGTTATATATGTATTTCCCTCAGTTTTCATTTGAATTAAAAGAGTACAGTATTTGTTTTTCATGCATATGTAACTGTCAAATTAACTCTACTTCTTATTTCTATATATTTGTTTTGAAACCCAGACTGATTGTGGCAAGAGTGCAGATTTTACCTGAGATACGCATGGGCAGTCCATTTGAAATGATGCGTCTGCAGTCCTTAGACAAACTAACATTACCTCACCCCCAGGAGGCTTCTGTGCATGTAGCACAAACCCGAGATTTAGGTAAGAAATTAGAGTGCTTGATCTGCACTGATGATTGGGAAAGAAATAAAAGCTGTGAATTACATTGCTGGTGTGTGCTGGCATTCATGTGTACAAGTTGTATGTGCATGTGTTTACACATATACTTGAAAGGTCATTGGGGATTGTAACCTGTGGCTTTATTGAAAATTTAAGGTCTAGGTGGAAAAAAGTACAGTGCCATTAGTGGATAATACAGTTAGCAAAGATACTGAAATGGAAGACTGGTAATTATTTTTTTTCAAATTGAAGAGAATATGGACTTTTGACACCTACAGTAGTATAAGTTATACTTTGCTAGTAGTATAAATTTTAAATCTAATAGCGAAATTACAGTACAGTGGAACCTCAAATATCGAACTTTTTTCGGTCCAGAAGGCTGTTCGAGTGCCTTTACCGAATGAATTTATTCCCATCAGGAATAATGTAAATTAGATTAGTCCATTTCAGACCCTCAAAAATACACTTATAAAAGCACTTACAAAAATACACTTACATAATTGGTTGTGTTGGGAGCAGTTCGATTTTTGAGGTTCCACTGTATTAGTAAATTTCAAGTCATATACAGTAAGCTCTTGCTGTATGTAAGGGCTACATTTTATTGGAGCCATGTGACCCTGTCAGTGTGTTATGTCAGTGTTTAATAGGTTAAAAACTGGGAATTGCAGAATGCTTCCTACTTGGACTACTGTCTGCAACAAGTTCTTACTTGGAGGGCTTTTCAGGATCTAAAATTTTAAATTCAAAGGTCAAGGCTGGTGTCCTTGGGGAGCATTGCATGTATGTGTCTGAATTTGAGGGTCCAGTCTGTGAAAGAGAGAAGGGTGAGAGAATGGATAGAGGAGGAAAAGTGAGGGCAGAGAGGACATGTTAGCAGTTACATATAAATGTTTTTGTGTCTGCACTTTGGGCCTGTGTTTCTACTGGCATCAGTAGCCCAACGTGTACTGCAATGTCCCACTACACATTAATAAGAAACTGTAAAAGTATGGCTAAATATAAAATGAATGTTAGTCTTTTATACTGTAAGAGGAACACTTAAGATTTATTTTGAGAGAAGTGAAAAAATACACTACATAGCTTATCACACCATCCTTATAACAGTTACTTGTTAAGAGTCTATCTCGTACAGCTGGGTGGAAAACTGTTTGTGGTTCTCGTTTGTGTCATTGTGTAAGATCACCTACTATTTTCATTGCTGATTTGTGTAGTTTATGCAGATGCACTAGATGAAAATATATACAGCATGTTTTATAACCACTTGAAAATGTTTTTTGTTGTGTACTGTACACAACAAAAAACATTTAAAGATTTTTTACCACATTGCATTGGAATCAATGGAAACCTCAAAATGATTTAAAAATTGAACTTTGGAAAACTTGCTAATGGCAGGAGGTTACTATGTGGTTATTTTACAAGGGCGATGTGAAATTATAAGAACAAATGTTGAAATGAGGAATAATTTATTTGTTATGCCAGAAGTCAATGCCAGAAAGTGAGCGAGACTAAATGTAGAAGAAAATTTGACGAATGAACATCATGGGGTAAATCTGTGAGGAAGCTTCGTTTGAGTAAACCATACCCCCGGCCGGGATTGAACCCGCGGTCATAGAGTCTCAAAACTCCAGCCCGTCGCGTTAGCCACTAGACCAGCTAGCCACAATAAGATTCATCCAACTAGGTATATTTCTACACCATAGGAAAGTTGAAGGGACTTGAGCTAGAGTTCGTCACGGCCACGCTAGCTGGAGATTCGTCTGTAAAAACTTGCATTTGTGGTCACAGAGGTGCCTGTGCTAACTTTCCTATGGTGTAGAAATATACCTAGTTGGATGAATCTTATTGTGGCTAGCTGGTCTAGTGGCTAACGCGACGGGCTGGAGTTTTGAGACTCTATGACCGCGGGTTCAATCCCGGCCGGGGGTATGGTTTATTTGCAATCGTGTCATTACGATTTCTTGAGCTTCGTTTGAGTAGTCTGTAGCTGGACAAGAAAGCTCACCATGAAAATGTATTTTCATTACAGAAGAATGCTTATTAGAGTTAGGCTAATAATTTGTGAATAAGATACATGTGCAACACCTGAGTATCTATGGGAGAGTTTTCACCCACCAGGAACTTTATCAGTCTAAAGCTCCCAGTAAGCAAGAGGACTCACAATAAAGATTCCAAGGTGGTGCTCACATCTTATTTGTCAACTTTGTATTATTTACTGTTGATCTAAGACTTACAACTTCAGTATTACCTTTCTAAATGCATATTACGGTAGTGTATGCTGTAGTACTGTATATGAAGGTGTTCAGATATGGGATTACAGAAATCTAAAGTGATGAAATGCAAAATGAACATAAGAGGTGTTATATTGTGTGGATCTTCATAGTTACACTAGGAGTATTTTGTCATAGTCTCTAGTTGATTATCAATGTATTTTTTCTTTTATATAATTTTAAATACAGCTGTCATATACAGTAGGGCTCCACTTATACGGCAGGTTAGGTTCCAGGCTACCACCAGAAAGCAGACATTGCCGGAAAGCAGAACACCATTTTTTTCCACTTATAAAATGCATATAAATACCAGATAACAAGTTTACACTAACATAAATTAAGTTAGCAGTAGAACTAGGAATTGAAAAACAAAGGTGAAATACACACACAGTACACTAATTACTTACCCCAGAATATTTGTAGTCTTAATGTAGGGTGAGATGTGAATAGTATTTATTGTAAAAAGTCATGTGTGGTAGGTACAGTAGCCCTCCTGGCCAACCCACCCACACGTAGTATACTGCAACATTTAAAGCGCCCTAGAATGATAAAATGCATATACAGTACACTCATTACTTACCTTAAAATATTTGTAGTCTTAATGTAGGGTGAAAGGTAAATGAGATAAAAACGAATAAACGAGAGAGAGAGAGAGAGAGAGAGAGAACGAGTAAATGAGAGAAAACAGAGCTTCTTTCTTTCAACATACCCGCCATATTCCACTGAGGCAGGGTGGCCCAAAAGGAAAAACAAAAGTTTCTCTTTTTACATTTAGTAATATATACAGGAGAAGGGGTTACTAGCCCCTTGCTCCCTGCATTTTAGTCGCCTCTTACAACACGCATAGCTTACGGAGGAAGAATTCTGTTCCACTTCCCCATGGACGTAAGAGGAAATAAACAAGAACAAGAACTAAAAAGAAAATAGAAGAAATCCAGAGGGGTGTGTGTATATATATGCTTGTACATATATGTGTAGTGTGACCTAAGTGCAAGTAGAAGTAGCAAGCATACCTGAAATCTTGCATATTTATGAGACAGACAGAAGACACCAGCAATCCTACCATCATGTAAAACAATTACAGGCTTTCGTTTTACACTCACTTGGCAGGATGGTAGTACCTCCCTGGGCAGTTGCTGTCTACCAGCCTACTACCTAGGCCAACCTACTACCTAGGAGAAAACAGAGCTACAGAGTACAAATACCTTACATTGTGTACAAGTTGTCTCCACATTAGTAAAGTAGAATAAATAAAGAGAAGCACTCCCATTCTCGTGTAACACCATTTTTAGAAAGAATGACGCTCCGAGTGTTTGGTGTTTAACTAGAGAAAACGTTATTCTTTCCGACACTGACAAGACGACTGGAAAAACATCTCATATTATGTTAATTTATTCTATTGTGGGGTATATTTATCATGTTTATATGTTATGTAGCATGTTTATTATATAATTTTGAATTATTATTATTATTATTATAATCAAGGGGGAAGCGCTAAACCCGGAGGATTATACAGCGCCTGGGGGGGGGATGTGGAAGGCATTCAGGCTTAATTCGGGGAACTGGAGCACAGATCCGATTCCCTAAATCAAGAGCCCCTCACCAACATCAAGGAACCTTCCTTTAGGGGATATAATTTTGAAAAAACATCATAGATGGATTAATGAAAATGTCTATATTAACACAATATACAACATTTAATGCACCTCAGAGTGATTATTGTGTTATTATCATTATTAATATGGTGTCTTCAAAACTAATGAAATACTCTTAGTTATTTTAATGTGTACCTGCACACCAGCACAGTGTGTAAATTTATTTAGGTACAGGTACACCTAAGTATAATTATCAGAGTACATATAAAAGTTTCCAGACATAATGGAGTCATGCTCATGGAGAATGTAAACAAACCAGGTGGCCTGTGGTGACCATATTAGAAAGTCAGGTGGGGGGAGCCGTATAACGAGTCTTGGTCATAATTTGAAATGTCCATATTAATGGAACACCGTAAAGCGGGAGCCCTACTGTACACACATTTAAGGATGATGGAAATTATATAAAAGCAATGATGCTTTTTGTATATTATGAAAAGGTTTGAAGATGCAGTATAGGGAAGGCATGATGAAATTCATTTTTTCTTTAAACTTACATTTATGTATAATATAATGCCTGGGAGATGGCCGACTTGTTGAAAAAAAAAAAAAAAAAAAAAAAAAAAAAAAAATAATGCCTGACACATTCAGACACATTTTGTTAATCTTGCTGTAGGGATGATCATAATGAAAACACATGCATACTTTTCTGTTGCTATAGTCTTATTTTTGTTTTGTTGATAAGACACCAAATGGCAGTAAAGGAACCTGATTTTTAAGACACTCTTGAAAAAGCCTTAACACAGTCTGTAACACACACAAAATGTCAATAAAAGTTCCATTAACTGCACTTTAGTGTCTACTGACAATATATCAGTAGTATTTGTTTATGATTGTCATAGCCCAACTTTTATTGCCACTTCTCACTAATACGATAAGTTGGTACAAGTAGAAGCATCTTCAGGCTTGCATCAGTAAAAATCTTACTGTTTGATCATATAAAGAGAGAAATACTATTTCTCATTTTATTTCCACTGTAACATGTTTATTATTTCACTACCAGCTTCAGTTCGAACACCGAATTCATGGCGGGTAAGGGGACGAAATGCTTGGCTAACCCCCTGGCCATCATGGGTGTATAATCAGTATGATGATCTGCTTTTGGCACAGCGAGTTATAAATGAAATAAAAAAAAGCACCATGATTCAACCTAACATGCTCAAAGTAAGTAACAGAACTAAAGCTTTGTGACTCAGTATTGCTTATTAAATTTTCCTATTTATGCAACTGATTTCTTTCATGATTATTTTTATTATGTCCCTCAAAGAATTTGCTTTCCATCAACCCTTTATGTATTTGTTAAGTTACATTACCTTAAGTGTAATGCCAATATATATAGTATTTAAGCATATTTGTGACAATAGTTTTTATCTCTAGTTTCCTTCACTGCTAAACAATGCTTCTAAAAGGTTCTTCTGTGATTTGTATACTGCAGCTTCCATGTGATCCTCAAGATTTGTCACACTGGGCAGCTATCAACCTTCCCCTGGATGATAGTCACCGCCTTGCCCTTCTGGGTCTCAATACTCCCACTCAGCGCCTTAGGTACATTCTCTCTGTCCTTTCTAAGGTAAGATATCTTTCTTTCTTCAAGCTTAACTGTATTCCCCAGCAGAATTTTGCTTTGTTTTAAGTTTGTAAACTTCGAACAATTCCTATTTTTTGTTCGTATGTACATTTTTCTATTTCCTTGGTTCATTTTTAATTTCCTACATATGTATTCTTTTAAAGGTACAGTAAGCTGTTAATAAGCTCCTCTATGTGGTGCTGTTTTCATAACTACTATTGAAAGAGTAGTTCCAAAATTGAATGAAGCATAGAAGAGCATTCATAGCATGTTCTGTTGTTTTCTGTGCACTTTTTAAATTGCATTTCTCAAAAATCATTGTATACAGAGGAACTTTATAAGAGCTTAGTGTAGCACTTTTTGTGTCCATGCTTTCTTTTAAATGTAGAGGTGTTTAACGTCCAAATTTGTGTGGTAAGTTCTCCAAATATAGGAGCACTGTAAGTAAAGTACTGTGGAAAAAATTGTGGGTTAGCCTATGTAGGTTAAACTGATATAAAGACTAGGCTGAATAACCACAAAAGATATGTGAGATACACACATCACTGTATTGACTGGTTCTTAGCTGAAATAATCATTTGCATACAGTGAAAAAAAAATCTAAATTTTAATATCATGAATAAACACTGGACAGCTGACACCATCAAGAGTGCAGAATGTGAAACATACATTTCTAAAAAAGGTTGACATGTCAAGGAAGACATGTCATACATGGTATAACTTCTTGTATACAAAGACCTTCCCTCTCAGTTAACTCTAGTTCTATTTAGTGTACCTACTGAAGAGGATCTCAGAGCAGTGATAACAATAGTTTTAATTACCTTTTTCAAGTTTGTAGTTTTTTTTTTTCCAACTAACTCCTTTTTCCATCTTTTGGTGGATGCTTCCTCATCCATTGATTGTAATGTGTTATTTGCACTGAGATCTATTGCATGCATATTCCATTGTTTAAAATAATTATTTAAAAATCTTAATTATTTTAATTTTTGCTGAAAAAGGCAGTTAGAATTAATAAATTTTTGTTTTTCAGTGTAAAATGCTAACGTGTACTCAGTGCTCTGAAGTGATTGGGGATACTGCAGATATCTTTTCTATGTCGGTGGAAGGACCTCAAGGAACATTCGTAAATCCTGGTGGATATGTGCACGAGATGTTGACGCTTGGTAAAGCTTCTAACCTTACATACTATGGACGGCCATCTACTGAGCATTCATGGTTTCCAGGGTTAGCAAAATTAGAATTTTCAGTTTGTGTGATTCTTTAAGTTTGCCTTAGCAATCTTATGTTTAAATCTGTAGAATTCACTTGGATACTAAAATAAATAATATGTACTTTAATCCATAAAATAGGAATTGAAGTAAACTATCAGTGCATTATATATACTGAGAGGTACTTCTTAGTTTATATACCCCTTAGTAGGTCTGTGAAAGAAGGGGAGAAGTTAGGTAGCCAAATTGCAAAAGTGTCTACCCTCTATAAATGGACTTTTATTTACTTTCAGGTATGCTTGGACAATTGCTAATTGCTCAAGCTGTCATCGCCACATGGGTTGGAAATTTACTGCTACCAAACGTAAACTAAAGCCACAGAAATTTTATGGTGTGACTCGCAAGGCGGTCAAAGCTAAACTGGTGTGGGACGGTGATGAAGGTGAAATGCGTCATGTAATATAAGGCTTATCTTTTGCAGTACTAATACTGCTTTTAATATATGTTAACTTTAATATAGTACACCAAACCTAACCAGTATTCTCCACTGTATCAGCAAAATAAACAGTTATAACTGTATGTAGTCAACTTGCTGTTACTTTCATGTTGTTGCAAATGCTCTAAAAGTAAATTTGTAACGAAAGGATGGAATCAAATGGTTTGGTATCATGTATAAAATGTATCTACTCATTTACTATGATGAAAGCCAAATTGTTTTGAGTTAATTTCCTGGCATTACTTTGCCAGAACATTTTATTTGTGCTGTTGTGGGATTATTATGAATGATTTAACATCATATATCATAATTGCTAATAAAATTGTTTTATGGCTTTCCACTGTGAATTTGTATTAATACAACATTAGCAATGTATACATTACTTAGATTATAGGAATGTTGCACTCATTGGCAATTGCATATTTGAATGGACTGCATGATGTGCTAAATTTATATATTTTGATATGGAAAGGCCTTAAAGTCTCCAATGATAAGGAAGCTAATGGAAATTTTATATGAAACTTACTATTCACACTTTAATTTGAGGAGCTAGATTTTTTCAATAATAAATTTGCCACTTAGCTTCAAGATCTGTATTTATATTTTGTTTGTAAAGAATACCTCAATAAAATACATTAATTTATTTCACTCAAAATAATTTTATTTTATTCATCCAGTATAAGATCTAGTTCAACAATTATGACTACTTTCAGAGACAATGCAGCTGAATACAATTATCTGAAACAGAAAAAGTTTTCAAAAAACAGGTGGTGGTTAATTATTATTACAGTCAAAACTAAGCCAGTAGTAACAGTCTGAGTAATCATGCCCTGATCCACCAGGAGGCTTGGTCGTAGACCGGGCTGCGGGGGCGTTGATCCCCGGAATACCCTCCAGGTAGAAACCCACAAGGTTCTGGTAGTGTTTGGAAATTTGATGTTTGCATTCAATGGAACACTTAAATTACTTGCCAACAGTATTGTATGACCTGTATAGGTGTAGCATTTTTTTTTTTATTTTAGTACAGCTCTCCTCACTTAACAATGGAGTTCCATTCCTAAGACCACGTCGTTAAACGAATTCGTCGCTAAGTGAGGAACGTGTACTATAATGGTAGTGGATTTGTGTCAACCATCTTTTATATTGTTTTAATGTCACCTTTGCACCATTTATAACATTTCTGGTATATTTTTAATGTTTATACAGTAGTGTACTGTATATTGAAATAAACAGAATAGAGGAAATCAGCTCTAATATACATTATTCAGGTACAAATACTGGTAAGAGAGCCCATCGTAAGTCCAAGGCATCGGTAAATGAGTACGTCGCTAAGTGGAGAGAGGCTGTAATGCAGTTTGGAGGGCTTTTGTAATTGTGATGTCGGTATGCTTCTGGCAGGACACCAAGTGAATGAATGACGGTGCATTGTTATCTTACCTTTGTGGGAGATGGCCAGTGTGTTTATAAAAAGTAATACGGTACCAAAGAAATTTTTGTTTAGCTATAGAATAAATGAAGCCTAATATCTCTTGGACAGCTTATGGTTTCATAAACAAAGTAGTATAAGGGATAAAACTATTATTACGTATTATCATAACGAAGTGCTAAATCCTTAAGGGTCGTGCAGCACTGGAGGGATGAAACAATACATCATTAAAAGAAAAAGGGGGTGAAAAAACATAAATTGCAAAGGCAGTGCAAATGTAGCCAAATGGTGCTAGGTAGATTTTTGTAACCACAGCAGCAGGGCTATGTTTGTGTCCCATCTTCAACATTTTAGTTTTACAAATTTCTGGTAATTTGAGCATTTATGACACTACCTCCTGTTGGATTCTATTGAAATGTTTTACAGAGGAGGCAAAACGCTATCATTTGGTGCTATATTTTTTCGTTTTCAACTGTAAATACAAGGTAAGACTGATTAGATTCTAAATCAGGAGAATTATTTATTGATCATAAAAATGGTACATTGGTAACAATAATAAATATAGTAATGATTGCACACGCACAAAAAATGCAAAATTCAATTTACTGTGTGAAGTGTCATGCACTACATCAACTATATCAAACATTCATTATGAAAAACTATTTTTTTAACGCCCCTACCTGCCAGTGCTAAAACAGTATGACTGAAAAAATTCCAGTAAATGTACACATCTCAGATTTACAATGTACACAGATCTCAAATTTGTTTTGGGGAGATATTTATTACATGGGGTCATTCCTGTTTAAACAATCTTAAATATAGAGAATTTAAATGTTAGTACTGGGAACTGCAGATACAGAAGGGTTCTACTGATAAAATTAACATCAAATTCACTTACATATTCCACACCCTTCATAAGGAATGCCTTGATTCTGGTTAAGGGCTCTTGACTTGAGAAACTAGTGCTACCTTACCTTGGTTCAAAGCTAATACTATATGACCCTCACGGATTTAGTGTGCTCCATTAACATAAAACAGTATTCTAGACGTGTGAATATGCACTGAAGTGCTAGATTTTAAGTTTCCAGAATTGGATTTACTTAGATATCATACCCTGTCCCCCAAGGAAGGTCCTTGATACTAATGAGGGATGCTTGATCCAAGGAATTGAACTTGACTTCCCCTTCCCTAGATCAAACCTGATTACCTCCCATTCCCAAGGCACTTCCCCCAATGATTGTACAGTAATTGTAATATTAACTTTAGTGTTCCTTAGCCCCAATTAAGACTGCCATGAGCCAACAGAGCAGCTTTGTCAAACATGACAAATAAGATATACGTACATGACTCTTTCCCAAGTGGAATGAGGAGTTGAGATGTGAAGGAGTGTATGTTCTAGACCTGGGAGTGTACGTGCTCCAATCATCCACAATTGCCCATAATTTTTTTTTTCTTTCAACAAGACGGCTATCTCCCACCGAGGCAGGGTGACCCAAAAAGAAAGAAAATCCCCAAAAAGAAAATACTTTCATCATCATTCAACACTTTCACCTCACTCACACATAATCACTGCTTTTGCAGAGGTGCCCAGAATACAACAGTTTAGAAGTACATATATATGTATAAAAATACACAATATATCCCTCCAAACCGCCAATATCTCAAACCCCTCCTTTAGAGTGCAGGCATTGTACTTCCCATTTACAGGACTCAAGTCCAGTTATATAAAATAACCAGTTTCCCTGAATCCCTTCATTAAATATTACCCTGCTCACACTCCAACAGCTCGTCATGTCCCCTCCCTCCAACCTTTTCGAGGACGACCCCTATCCCGCCATCCTTCCCCTATAGATTTATACGCTCTCCATGTCATTCTACTTTGATCCATTCTCTCTAAATGACCAAACCACCTCAACAAACCCTCTTCAGCCCTCTGATTAATACTTTTATTAACTCCACACCTTCTCCTAATTTCCACACTCCGAATTTTCTGCATAATATTTACACCACACATTGCCCTTAGACAGGACATCTCCACTGCCTCCAACCGCCTCCTCACTGCATCATTTACAACCCAAGCTTCACACCCATATAAGAGTGTTGGTACTACTATACTTTAATACATTACCTTCTTTTCCTCCATAGATAATATTTTTTGCCTCCACATATACCTCAATGCACCACTCACCTTTTTTCCTTCATCAATTCTATGATTAACCTCATCCTTCATCAATCCATCTGCTGACACGTCAACTCCCAAATATCTGAAAACATTCACTTCTTCCATACTACTCCTCCCCAATTTGATATCCAATTTTTCTTTATCTAAATCTTTTCTATGTTCACTTTCAACTTTCTACCTTTACACACACTCCCAAATTCGTCCACTAACCTATGCAATTTTTCTTTAGAATCTCCCATAAGCACAGTATCATCAGCGAAAAGTAATAAATACGTACATATAATGACTGTTCGGACTTGCTTTCAAAAATTTGTAAAAAAAAAAAAAAAAAAAAAAATGGCAAAAGTCACATTAATAAAAAGGTCTTAGAATGGGCCATTCTATAACATACTAGAAACATATTCAAATCCCTTAAATATTTTGACAGACCAAACACTAAACATTAATGGCTCAAGATACCATAAAGGCTGGTTTAGAAAGACATGTAAGCAAACACTATAACATATTTATTAGAAAACATTTCGGTCCTGGGACCTTGATCACTTCTAACATACAGAGGTAGAAAGACATTATATATATAGGTGGAGAGTGAGATGTGACACACGTGACCTGAGGAATGTCATAAGAACATAAGAATGGAGGAACACTGCAGAAGGCCTACTGGCTCATGCGAGGCAGGTCCTTATCGAAACAACCTCTACCTATGATGAGGACGGGTAGACGATGAAATCATGTGACTCCTGTGTTGTTGGGTTGGTGTTGCTTAAGTATCATGTATGCCAATGTTTTTGAAATTTTGTAGTTTCCACCAACACTAACCCAACAACACAGGAGTCACATGATTTCATCGTCTACCCGTCCTCATCATAGGTAGAGGTTGTTTTGATAAGGACCTGCCTCGCATGAGCCAGTAGGCCTTCTGCAGTGTTCCTCCATTCTTATGTTCTTATGACATTCCTCAGGTCACGTGCATCACATCTCACTCTCCGCCTATATATATAATGTCTTTCTACCTCTGTATGTTAGAAGTGATCAAGGTCCCAGGACCGAAACGTTTTCTAATAAATATGTTATAGTGTTTGCTTACGTGTCTTTCTAAACCAACTTGTCGGTATTTATTACCAAGGTTTATACCACCATAAAGGCTATTATTCACCAATGTCCCTTCCAAGCATTTTTACTGATAAGGTAATCCCTTGCTATACATGAATTCACCTATACATATGATGATCTCAGTCCTTCCAGTACTTATGTACATGATATAGATTCACTATGGGATTCACAAAACTTAACAAATCTGCACGGTGGAAGCCCTACAATGTGGGAGATGCTATGATGGGATGAAGTAAATTCCTCTACCTTTAAATGGTGGCTTGGAAGAGTCTTGGAAAACACTACATTGTAAGCTTTAAGGGCTTCCTCAAATTGTCCACAACTATGTAAGAGGTTGCCAATTAGGATCCAGCCCATTTGAGCTAATTTATGGCTGCTCAGTAAGGGAAACAATGTTCTTAGCAAGTCCTGATTAAACAAAGCTATACCCTTTCTGCTCTTCCTGTTGCCATCATGGACTGTTTAGCTCACCTGCTCACAAAATGCACCAACAAACCAAAATAACTCAGTCATGCATTCAAAGAAATTCAAGGTTGGCATCAGTTTCAGTCAAAAAAAAAAGTCATAGTCTGTACCTCTGTTGAAGGTAGGGCTTTCTGAAAGAGCAGGCAGTGAAAATGGAAATGAATTTAGCATGCTTGCTGATAAATGATACGATCAAAAGACATTGAATCAACAAATCCTGAGGGGATTTAAAGAAGCCAATATGCAGGTGTGCTGAGGAAGAACCATTTCCCAAACACGACAGAGAGAAAAAGAATTTGACCTAAAACTCAGGTATTGTTTGATTAATAAAAGCTCATTCTTCAACCGAGACAATGACACTGCCATTGATCCAGAATGCTCTGAGACAAAACTGACATTAAACAACATTTCTTCTGTTATTAATCGTGTCCCCAGGCCTCTCCTATATTACACTTGCCTTCCATTTTGAATT